GGCAGAGGTGCTACTGGCCACCACTAAAGTGGAGATATAACTAACGATGGTCGCCGTTTCGATTCCCGGTGAGATCATTGGATTTTTCAGTTGATCTAATCCTTCCAGGCGCACTGTTGCCCTGGGGCCGACTCATCCTCTAACAGAAATGAGTACCAGGAATCTTCCTGGGGGTAAAGGGCGGCCGGCCGGTCGGCCGGACCGTAAGGCTGACAACCTTACCGCCGTCTGTTATCCGATTGTCTACAAAATGTGATTACCTGCACGTTTCATAACCCTATGGGCCTCAAAGGGCTTATACAGGGATAGCTTTAAGTTTTTTTTTTCGGCCCAATTTAGCAGAATTCTGTTTGAGAATCTAATAGTCCATGAATAGGTCACGAATTTCACCTTATTAGATAGAACCTTAAGATTCATTGCCGTGTTACAAGGGTCCGTTGCTGATCCATGTCCTGAGCCGTATGAAGTCGGTCGCCAGTATCCTATTACCTTAAAGCCCATTTGAATATTATCCGCCCATTTATGACTAGGTCTACCAAACGATTTCTTCCTTAATGTTTTCTGAAAAAAATTTGTATGCGTTTCTCATTTCATCGTCCCAGATTTATGTGGTGAAGAGATTATTTACATTATTGATTATCTCAAGTCTTCTAATATTTCCTTCTTCTTAGGTCCAAGTATTCTCCTCAGCACGTTTTTCATGCACAGGTTTGCCCTATCTTCTTCCAGTACAGCGAGAATAAAAGAAAGGTAAAAATGATAGTTTTTCAGAAGTTGAATAACGATTAACTCTAGGTCTCCTCGTGGTCTATCGCTTAATGCTGTTGTGTAGTACGAGTATTTGAAAGCCCCCTAGTTCTATTACAGGCGTCGCCCACAAAAACGAAAATAGAAAAGTAATCAAATCTCTCAGAATAACGAGATCTAATCACGTAAAGAAGGACGTAGAGCCAATTCCCGAAACGACGTGGACATCAAATAGACCTCAGCCAACGTAAAATATCCAGCATTATGTCTTATTTTATTAACTCTAAAATGAGTAAAATGTGTCCACAAACCTTTCAGGGAATCAAACCAGCCGTTCTCGTGTGCCCCATTTATTGGACTTCGCATCTTAAATTGTATTTTTCAGCAGTTGTTTATTCGTAGGGTGGGTTGAAACCGAGTCCACGTGATACTCCGGTCACTGCTGGGCCTATTGTACTATCCCCCCATAGCTCATGAAGTTAGTCGCTGGCTTCTCACCGCGTCGGCCCGGGTCGATCCCGGGTCTGGTCAAGTGGGATTTGTGGTGGACAGAGTGGCGCTGGGGCAGGTTTTCTCCAAGTACTTTGGTTTACTGCCAATCTTCATTCCACCATTTGCTCCACAATCACCCTCACCTATCATCTGGAGCTGGTACAATAGTCCAGAAGTGGCCGCAGTACAAGGGACTTAGTCCCACCCCACTAGCAATAAAAGAAATATTTTTGTTACTTATAATTTAAGGATTTTCTACAATATTATGAACGATGATAAGTGTTGTTATCCCAGAAAAATGGTCTTCCACTTAACATCCTTCCTCGCTCCGTAGCTCAAGCGGTTAATCGCTGGCTTCCAACCGCGGCGGCCCGGGTCGATCCCGGGTCTGGTCAAGTGGGATTTATGGTGGACAAAGTGGCGCTGGGGCAGGTTTTCTCCGAGTACTTCGGTTCCCCTGCCAATCTTCATTCCACCATTTGCTCCACAATCACCCTCACCTATCATCTGGTGCTGGTACAATAGGCCAGAAGTGGCCGCAGTACAAGGGACTTAGTCCCACCCCACTAGCAATAAAAAAAATCCCCGGATGATGGTGATGTGATGATATAAACGTAGAGCAATTAGTATATTGAGAATGTGCGAGAGAAATTGAAGTATTCTGACAAATCTGCCCAAGTACCACTTAGTTCGCCATGATCTGGAATCGAAGGGGCCGTCGTGGTGGGAAAATGCCGCACATTCCCCTGAGCTATAGCACGGTCTTTTCATAACAGTTACTCTGCAATTATAATTATAAAAGACAAATAGTAGTGAAGTAGGCTAGTGAATCATTAAGTGAGAAAACTGAAATAGTCACATTGGACGGACTTGTCTTTTGTAATTGTAGCTGTTAGTGTGACGGACCAAAATGAAACAAATAAAAAAAAGTTACTCTGCACTTTCAGATTTTATATCTTGGTATGTGGTTTACCTTTGTATTGGCCTTAAAATTTCACGCATCTTTAACTTTGTAAGATTACGTAATGTGTGAAGCGAGTACGTAATGGGCCCATCATGTCTGCGTGTCCATCTGTCCACTTGACATATCTTTCAAACAGCGATTGAATGCGGTACGCTCTTCTGCACTAGATTTGTTGGGCCAATTTTAATTTGGTCTCTTCAGTTCACTGCACCTCCTCGTTTACATGAAGTGCATCAGATATAATTTTATTACATTTCTCAAAACCATTCATTCTACAATGAAACTGGTTAAATGAGAAAACTATTTTTTTCAAACGCTCTTCCAGCCCATTCAGGGCCCTGGCATCTTATTCAGTTCCGTAATAATTTTTTCACAGACATTGGCATTCCATGGACGAGTGGTCAGTTCGTCGTAAGCACAAGACAAACTGTAGGCATCGTTAATTTCTGTGATGCTTATATGAAGCATCTCTCTGTTTTGCTTATATTTAACGAAATGCTTGTCTGAGTCTTGAAGGCGGATTGGCGAAGAGTAAGGTAAAAAGAGTATAGGCAGCCCACATCTCTGGCAGGCAAAGTGGGGGAAACTGTGTATTTGGTGTGCAATTTCTGCCTGCGTGTAATGAAAATCCCGTGCTCTCCATCTGCATCGACAACGATATAGTGTCCATTATGGTTGCTTTTATAGTCCGTTTATATCAGCTGACTTCTGGACCCTTTAGAGCCCAATACAAAATCGTGAAGAACGCGTTTGGAAACTAGTATGTGTTCAAACAGTGGGGCGTTCGTTTCTCTCACTGAAGGAACATGCACGCTCCTTCATTCGAAACCGAATCTTCTGGTGGGGAATGAGGTGGCTGATGGAAAACAACTTTCTCATTCCTGTAAATGTGGTCTGCCAATGCGTAAAGATGACTTTGGCTTATGCACACTCCATGTACGGGGAACGTATCCAAGTTTCGCCCTTCTTAAACACAGAGGAGTACGTAATAATTAGCAGTTGGCGAGACGGGTGCTTTGGGGAAACTTCGTACAGCTTACGGCGGCGTTCCAGCGTCATATGGTGAATTCCTTGTACACAGAGTGTTAAAGAAAGGTTACGGGCTTTAAGATGGTATGTGTATAAAAAAGTAAAGCTATCCCTGTACCAGGCCGTGGAAGGCCCATAGGGCTGTGAGACGTTCAGTGTCCCACATTATCTAGACAATCAGCTCAAAAGTTGTCAGCCTTACGCGCCGGCCGCGCTTTACTCCCCAGGAAAGTTATTTAATTAATTCCTGGTACTCATTTCTGTTAGAGGCTGAGTCGACCCCAGGGCCATAGTGCGGCTGGAAGGATTAGGTCAGTTGAAAAAAATCCAGTGACCTCATCGGGACTTAAACCAGCGACCTTCCGACTTGTAGCCTTGTGCCTCAACCAACTATACTACCGCGTGCCCCCCCCCACCTTATACAGGTACACTGCATACACCTGGGGATGACATCCGATAGATACAAAGGGATATATTCGTTATCCAGTCGGCAACGGCGCAGGAGACTACAGTATAGTGCCGACGTTGTCTGAAGACTTAAAGCTAATTCTATACATCAGACTGCAGTATCGCAGTATTTTTCAAAAGTCACCTTTATAAATATATTGGAATCGCACAACGGATGTGTTTACATCATTTCACTTCTGCACTAGGGCATCTGAATACCCGCGTATTTAAATATTTTACACCTGTGATGACCTAACCACCAGCGTATATATATCAATATGTCGTAAGGCTTCTTCTCTAAACAGTCGGTGGTAGCGCTACTGGTCAAAAGGTTCCGTACTTTTGGACCCAAGATACCCATCATTGTGTCCACAAAAGCTCAAAGTTGGACACATCGAGATAGATTAGCCAAATTGACATTTATTAACGTGTCGTATTTGATCCATGCAAGAATGGTTGAGCCACACAAACAGCGTTGTTAAATAATACACGCACGCAACAATAGAACAACGGGGTTATGCAACCTGTTCCTAGGCAACGACTCGAAAAAAAACCCCGCGATACGCGCACGCAACAGTAGGACGAATGTTACAGCTCGTTGCTAGGCAGCAGCCAGCGCGCCAATGGATTGGAGAGATAACAATCACGTTACTTGTGTTTTCTGTGTGGTCCATGCGGAACCTATGTAGCGATGATCTGTTATAGCGTAGATTAGTGCAGTGCAGTGCAGATGAGAGTACAAGGACGAGAATGGAGCATGTTCTTAGTGAACTGTGAAGATTAGTTGACTGCAGATTAGCACAGAGGAGTACAGAGTGATAGAAGACGAAATAACAAGACTTCTTTATGGTTATAAATGTTAGTTTCTGTGTTGAAATCCATTGCTAGGTGACGACGGAAAATCCTTGTGCGTATGCAAAAGTGTGTACAACAGAGATAGCGTTATAATTGAGTGTAATTAAGCGAAATTGTAACCGAAGTGCCAATAAATCCTATCATCCGATCAAGAACCTGTTATTTTCGTCACGTGCCCCCCTTCACATGCTAATATCTATTCCTCTAATGTCCATTTTAATATGTCCTCTTATTTATGCTTTATTCTTCGTGGTTGTCACTTCCTTCAGATTCTCCGAGACGAACGTTACGCATTCCTTTCTTTTTGTCTTCTGTTTTGCAACCTTGTATACCGATAAGCTAACTGATGTGTAGTCTCATTGCTGTGTGTATAAATATAGGAATGTAATATATCCAGTTTCACTGATTTACGTACTTAGATTACGTTGATAATAGGTTCACTTATAGTGATTATCTGTTGTTCCAGGGTTCAGATCCACGTGTGGCAACATGCCGTGGTAAACTGCAGAACAAACGTTCCAAGCTCAATCAGGAGATCAACAAAGAGCTGAGGCTTCGAGCAGGTGCAGAAAATCTGTTCAAGTGAGTATATTTCGTGCCTTAAACTTGTGACTGCTAACATCCGCATATATTGTGCATATGTCAGTGACGTTTCGTTACTTACGGAATTCCAAGGCCGCGCTGTAGCTCAAGCGGTTAGTCGCTGGCTTCCCACCGCGTCGGCCCGGGTTCGATCCCGGGTCTGGTCAAGTGAGATTTGCGGTGAAGAGAGTGGCGCCGCGCAGGTTTTCTCTGAGTACCTCGGTTTTCCCTGCCAATCTTCATTCCACCAAATGAGTGGACCCAATTTGATCCCCCGCTACTAAGCGAATTAAAAAAAAAGGTTTTACGGAATTTTAAGAAAAATGTATTGTCATATTTGGCAAGTTGTAATAATGGACATAATCATAATTCAGTGTTGGTTCGCAGAATTTTGCCCAATCGGAAGGAAGACTAAAAAAGGGGGGGGGAGGGAAAAGAAACTGTAAAGTGAAGAAATCACTATCCTCATAGCTGCTGTACTTCACTAGTCTTCGCCTCTTCTGACGGTGACGGAATTTCTTAATACTTGTACTATTTATACAGAGAATCATAGAATCGCAAAGCCTTTATACAAACACTTACATGCCCCAAAAGAAATCCAAACCCCCGATCCAGCTTGCAGGAGCCTTAAGAACCAGCAGATCTTGAAGCGCGCGGCTAGCAGGACCGACATCTTAAATCATGACAAAATTAAAACTTAAGCCACGAAATCAGCAAAACTCTACATACGTATATATGATTTTGTCTGAAAACCCCTTTTCATTTTACATATACTGGAATAGATGTGGAAGGAAGTTTTCGTGGCCTATTTCTCTGCGGCATATGCCTGTGCAGACTGAGATGCTGCTGTTACGTAATGTAGTGTCTGTGAGCTTAATTAGTTCTCATAACAATCTACTTGAGTTTTTACTAAATGCACCAAGACGAGAAATGTAACTTCATATAGAAAGCATTTGGAAACCGTGTATTCCAGACTGTATAATGTTTCGTATCCTCTCCGTCAGGTCCTTACCGGGATCCTTTATTGCATATAAAACGCGTATAGCTAATGACGAACCGGAAAACGCAGTTCCAAGACCTGTTTCAGTAAGATCTAGTCGTAAGTGCATTCCACAAGATGCACTCAAAACTGTTTTTGTCGCTGGAAGTGAATACAGTTATGCGATATCGCTGCAAGTAAGAAACATAACGGAAACCAATGGCCTGCAGCATAATGCCTCAGTGATTTATACTTTCCTGCCGCACCTTCATGTCAGATAAGTTGCCATGCGAGCACGGCGTTTCTTCAACTTCCTTTCTGTTCCATGTCAGCGCTGCTGAAATTCAGACCGCTGAGGGGCCGCATTTTACCTTAGGAAACGACCAGCGAGCAGCATTATAAGATATTGTTTTCTGTATACCGACATGAACATACGAATATGTTCTGCACTATTCAGATATATTAAGCAAAATCAGATGTAACTGTATGTAAAACTCATGCCACCTGGGTGAACATAAAACAGCTACGTTTAAAAGTTTGCTCCATATATTAAGCAGGCTATCCATGAACAACGCAAACAGACTAACCTAACATCATCATTACCATAAACAGTTAATGCTTACAACAAAAGAATGTGTGTATTTATACACAAACAATCCTACAGAAAACAAATAACTCCGAAAAAAGTGGACATTTACTAACTCAGGTAACTAAGCGGCCTCCGTAGTCTAGAGGTAACGTTCCCACCTAATGACTCGTGGTACGCGGGTTCAAACCCGGCGGAGGTCGTGGAAATTTTAAGGGCGGAAAAATTAATGGAACAAGTCCTCCGGGAGGGACTTTAAGCCGTGGGTCCCGTGTCGTAGCTTTACGGCACGTAAAAGAGCCTCATATCTCCAAAGGAGGTCACTGAGCTAAATTCAAGGATATTTCCCGCCCAACAGTAGTCTCTAACGCCTCTGATAGATGGGGGAAGCATTATAGATACCGCCAAGCCAGTAGAGGCCGAACTCGCTGGCTCGGTCGGGATTGATGGTACGCACCAATATCGGTAGAGTATAGAGACTGGTAGATTATCATAGAGGGAAGCACAATGGACCAATACTGGTCTCAATGCATGGGGAAACCCACCCTCTCCAATAACTAACTAACTAACTCAGGTGACTAAATGCGTTCTATTACGATACTATTCAAAATACCAAAATTAAGATAGTATTTGAAACAAATATTACTGTAAAAGATCTACTACACGCGTTAGTGTCGACGCAACTACAGATCTCTATAAACTTCTATATAAATAAGATTGCAGAAACGTCTACATAGGGCAAATAGAGTGTAAAATTTACGTGGATACAAAGAACATTTTCAAAACATGAAATACCATGAAGATGATTCCGGGTATGCAACACACATCTCAAACCATATTCATCAATATGGCAAAATATAAAATACTATGGAAAGAATGGATTGCGCAGAATGTCAACTCATGAAAACTGAATGAAACATTTTATATCAATATGTACAGAGTACAACGTGCGACAATTGAATTCTCGGAATGGCCTCAGCATGTCGCTGGGGTGTTGAGTAAGGCAAACTCATGTACCCAAGCACATTTGGACATGTTCCAGTGTTTACATGACCCACAGACCAAATGAGTCGTTCGTCCCAAGCAGCAGAGGCACCGCGCTATACTGTTGGCGGAAAAATTGGTAACGAGAATCTCGAACAGCGGATAAACATCAAGTTTTGTGTGCAGATTTGTGAAGGTGCCAGTGAAAGGTTAGCCATATTAGGCTGGGGCCACACGAGCGCACAAAGTACGTCCGTTGCAACGAACGTACTTTATGACGGACGTTGCTGAGAACACCACAGTTGCAGAATGCGGTGCGTAGTTTTTGTCTGCAATGGAGCCAGAAGAAATCGTAGCATTCGCCTCTTTTGTTTATTTCTACAACGGACGTCACGACTTTCGTTACAACGAACGCATTTTGTGCGCTCGTGTGGTCCCAGCCTTAACAGTGTCTTATGGTGAATACGCTATGAAGAAATCAAATGCTTTTGAATGGTGCAGACGGTGCAAAGAAGGGCGAGAAGATGTGCAAGATGACCCGAGAAGTTTTTCTTCGATAACAAGGGGATAATTCACTGTGAATTGATTGCACAAGGACAAACGGTGAACCAGCAGTGTTATTTGGCAGTGCTGGCAAGGTTCGGGGATCTGTTCGGAGGAAAATACCCGAACTCCGGTCTGACAAGTGGATTCTCCACCATGACAATGCGCCAGCGCACTGCGCATAATGCGTGAAGAGTTCGCGATTTCCTGGCTAAGAAATCCATTACAAAAACGGACCATCCACCTTATTTAACTAGCTTAGCCCAATGCGATTTTTGGCTCTCTCCAAAAGAAAGAAAATGCCCCGAAGGGTCAAAGGTTTGCTGACATTCCTGACATCCAACGCAACGTGATGTTACTGAGAGATGTTCAGGAAAACGATTTTCATGACTGTTTCCGGCAGTGGTAACATCGTCTCACGAAGTGCATGGCTGCGCAAGGAGAGTATTTCGAAGGCGAATGCAGCCGGTAGTGCATAACTACGCAAATTTGCTTTCATAGAGCCATTCCGCGAATTAAATTGTCGCGCCTTGTACATGGCCAACATGCACATGAAGATCACGAAGGAAGAAACAGTCATGTAGGATTTGAGGTTCTTGCAGTGCTGGTTATGAAGAGTACTATCATCTGGAATATAACGCCATGTAGTCCGGTGAAAGTCAAACGAAGTTTTCCTTCGTCTTCAGGGTTGAAGAATAAGTCGCGTAAGATAGCAGCATGAAAGCAGGTGGCAAACAGACCTCTGCATACGAAGTGGTACTACTCTGCAACGTTATGTCCCAGAAGACAATAATCTTAATGAGATAATTATGTACTTTTGACGAAAATACACCGTTCACATGTGCATACGTAAGGGATAACCCTACCTCGTACCAACCTACACATCTCCCATTGCTAAACAGTAACATACTTCACCCCGTAGTAACCAACAGCCATGCCGCACGTCATCATAAGTTAATTACTTATATAAACAGTGCTGTGATCCTATTCTTCATTAAAGAATTAGGGAGTGAGGATGTCGGCTGGATTGATCAGGGTCAGGTAGGGTCTAGCTGTGGTCCCTTCTGAACGTTTCCATAAACAATATTGAAATTAATTTTCCGCCATTTTTGTTAAATAAAAATTATTTACTTATCGGTCTAAATTTAGACGAGCTTCAGAAAATGAAACAGATGAGCCCTCGTTCAAATTCCAGATCTGAAATCAACCTAAAATTTGGTAATGATAGTTGTGAACCAGATGTATTGATGATACGCTGCTGTGTTACCGAAGCCTCGTCTCTGTGGGCTGGTCACGCTGAATGAAGGTGATGACCGTAAGGTATGAGAGGCTGTACAAGTTTCACTCCACTGAGAAGTATGTACCAAGGCAATGAAGATTAATGACTGAGTTTAATAAGTTTAATATATGCAACTCAAGAATTCTTTCAAGGACGGCGCCAGAGCAGAAGCTGAAGATTGCTCATGCGGAATGTCTGTTCCGTCTGAGTTACCACTTTCCAACCGTCGGCTTACGTTTGGCATTCCACATTAACCGCCTGTCTTCGTATTTGGTATTCATTGTGGCTTTGTCACGACTGAAGTGTGCGGTTGTATCTCACAACGTGCTTGCCATACACACATAGACACAAGGAAATCTGCATTTATTCACACACAGACAGCCCAGAATAATTCAATTCTTTGATTATAATTGAGGTTATCTTTTGTGAACACTGTAATGAACTATCGGGTTCCGTAAAGGTTGCGACTTTCTTCGTTAACAGAGCGGCTGTTACTTTCACAATGCTTTTNGTATTCATTGTGGCTTTGTCACGACTGAAGTGTGCGGTTGTATCTCGCAACGTGCTTGCCATACACACTTAGACACAAGGAAATCTGCATTTATTCACACACAGACATCCCAGAATAA